TGTTCATGCAGCCAGGGGGAAAACACATTTCTTTCCTTCCGATTGCGTGACTCTGGCAGTGTACCCACCTCAGTAGCTGATAGATATCTTCCTGTTGTTGGATTTCCAAGAACTCCTAATGAAACTTAATCGACCTACCCGAACTATCCGCTTTTAAATGAAATAAACAAATTTTCTGCTGTCTGTTTTTGAAAATTTCACTTCAGATTACAACCCTTACTTGGATCATTGTTACATTGGGGTTTTTTTTACGTCAAAACTCAAAGAGGATATTCGTCAACACTTCTTGTTTTTTTGTATTTTTTCTTTCTATAACGCAATTCTTTTTATTCAATGCTGTTGTCTCCTTTTTGAGCTCTACTTTCAAATGTTCTTGCCAGTTCCATGACACGCAGCCTGTGTCGAGTGTCGAGTGGCGTCCCCTTGATTACCCATGATCTCTCCAGCTTCAGAGGAAATCCTTCAGGACGAACAAGGCAAATCCTCAAATCCTTATCCATCCACAACGTCTCTTGAGACGTTTTGAATAATGGTTTTGTATACAATGTTGCCACTGCAACTGGTAGTAAATATTTTGAGCTATAAATTGTTTCAACAATGGTTTATGTCAAGATAGTTCAGCTTCAAGTAGATCTGCTGGCCAGCAGTAAAGTTCGAAAAGAATTTTTAAAACGCCCTTCTGACCCCCTTCCCCTCCTGAAAAAAACCTCTCTTGAATATGCGATGTTTTTCTTTATTGTGAAACCCTAAAAACGATGTATTTTTACCCCAACGTGAACATACTGTTGCAAACGCAGCATTTTAAACAAAAATCAGGTATGGCGAACAAAATCTGAACGTATTTTTTTTCGTCTGCGTCTACTATATTATTCCATCCTCATTATTCCCACATCAGCGTTCTCACGCACGTCCAGTCTGCCTCGATCGTCAATATGGATAGAGAAAAAAAAAGGAAAAGTAAGAAAAGCGTATCTCAATAAAAGCCCCTAAGTCCTGACATGATCACGAGTTGCACGTGAGGCTCGCTGCCATAGCAGCTCCGGCCGCTCTGGTGTTGTTATGAAGACATCCCGTCGACAGATCTAGAGCGTAATAGAAATGGGAATCACAACGGTGTCTTGTAATCAATGACTCCGACAAGTAAACACGACCCCTTGCCCCTCCATTCCTTCGTCTCCTCTCCCCC